TGAGTTTCAAGAGTCATCTTGGAGGAATAAGACTACCCTCTGTAATTTGAGAGAAAATGGAAAACCCCATTGAAAATTAAATTATGGGTGAAAAATCACCAAAATGAGACAAACTTTGTAACACTTGAGATTTAATATAAACGGATTAATAGTACTACTCATACCAACAAGATGCATCTCCTTTTAAGGGAGCTCATCAGCCAAGAACTCCAAAGTTAAGCGTGCTTGCACGGGAGTTTCTTGGGATGGGTGACCCCCTGGGAAGTTTCTCAGGGCGCGCACGAGTGAGGACAAAGTGCGCGTAAAAGGCTAGTGACGGTTTGTGAGGACAGTACTATTGGTCCGGAGTAACTACCTCGGGTCCCACGGGGCCGGGGTGCTACAAACTTACCCATGTATTTGTGCATTTACTTCAGAAATTTCTCATGAACAAATCAAAGGATAAAATCAGCACGTTGGGTCACAAATATAGAAACTTTAAGGCATTCTCCTACCTCAATTTTCTGGCACAATAAGGAGAATTAACATCAAATTTTATAAATTTAACACAAGAGAGCAGTAAAAGATCATTACCTCATGCAAAAACAGTCCGAAATGAAATGTGCATAAATATCTACAAAATGAAATTTAGAAGGACAATCCAATGCATTTTGTGGAAGATATCAATTGTTAGAATTAATAGATACCTTCATAAATGGCTTCTTTAGCTTTCACTGATATCAACGATAAACTTTCAATCCATTTATCAGCTAATGGCAAGTTGTGTTACCTGTTTAATTTCAAGAAAAACCAAGACGAGTAAAAAGAATAAAATAAAACCAAGACAAGTCATGCATGTAGTCTTTATGTAGAAGAAATATGCTTATAGAGCCTCTTAAATGTAAAAATCTATACTCTAGCCATCTTTATATTACTCAAAAAGCATTAATAGGAATTAGAGTACAATAATATGTGTTCCTAACACAAATTACTTATGACTCGACGACAATAACACGTGATTCTAACTCAACCAGTTGATATTACTTGTTAATGTGATGGAGGTGGCACCAAGTTCAGCTGCTATTTTTCATAAGAACTTTGAATTGAATGGATTCTCCTTGATCACAACACCTAAAAATACAAAATTAGAGTTACATATGTTAACGAAACGAGAAAGTCATAAAAATGTGCTAAAAAGCCTACACGAATAATTGTTTTTTGAATTTAGTTTCTCTCATTTATTACAGATCAAGTACACACTTTGCTTTCTAGATTGCGTCCAATATTATTGGGATAAGACAAACAAACTCATGGAAGGACATATAGTTACATACCAATTTGGGTTTAGACTAGACAACACACATTACAAGCTAGAAAATGACCCGGTTCCCAAACACATGGAAGGACATATACAAGGATACTAAAGAGGTTACTTTTTCCAATGCCATTAATACCATGAAAAAATAGCCATAAGTAACATAGATCAAACAATTGATAGTCTGAAATCACATAGACACTTTTAAACCTTGTTTTGAATACTCAATTAAAAGATACTCAAAGATACTCACTGAAAAGTATGCATGACGTGTTCATGTCCATAAGAGAGTGTATATTGATAGAACTAGAATCTGTAATAAGGAGGGATATATATGGCTAAAATGACAACAACAACATACAAGCCTTACTCCCAAAAGATCCATGATATGGCTAAAATGACTAAGAGAAAATAACTAATAAAGTGATAAGGGTAAAAGACCTTTAAGTAACACTGTTGCAGCGAGCTTTTCTTCTCCAAAATGAACTGGTAACAAGCAATTTCCCACTACTCTTGGACATACTTCGAAAATAAGCAGTATCAGTAACTACATAGATTTAAAAAGAGGAAAAGTGAAGCTCCAATCAAAAAGATAAAGTAGATCAAGCTATCTTAATACCATGATCAATCCAAACCACAAAATTGTCTAAATTAGGAAGTGTAATTGAGAAAATCATCATAGATAAGAAAAATCATGTATATGTGATGAATATAAGGATAACTACAAGTATGTCAATACAAAAATGATAATTACAATCAATAGGTTCAGGATTTAACTCAATGAATTCACACAAAATCAATAGAACCGCTCTTCCACACTATAGTGACTTAGGTTCAAAAAAATGAAAACTAAAGTAAGTCATAATCACTGAAAGCATGAAAGATAAAGCATACTCAATGTATTAGTGCAGTAAATTGAATGTAGCTCAAGATGGAGATTTGAGTAAAAGAGAAGAGTCCAATTATAGAGGATAAAGAATACTCACGTATTAATGCAGAACTATGCAAATCTATTTTACAATGTTTCCAAAAATCAATAAGTACACTGAGCACAACCCGAGCTCTTTCTCTGAGTAAACATTTAAGGAGGCATTGTGTTTTCGTGAGTAAATATAACACCAATGCATACATAAAAGTAACACTTGGAAAATTGAAGAACTCAAATCTTCTTAGGTTAAAACTAAGAATCAAGATTAAAGGAGGTAATCGGGTAGATAAGATGTCAAGACATAGATCGAGTGAATACCTGCTAACATCTCCTTTCTTTAGCTGTAAATCCAATGAGAGAGCGAAGAATTACTGACTTAGTTCGTTACTAGGATAGAGCTGAAGCGAGTTCACGGGGAACCGAGCTCAAACCATATTCGCGAGATTCGATCTCACCGGGCACCTTCACATTCTCTCTACCACCATGTCTTCACCAGACCTTGCTTCCGTTTGAGATGTAGAGATAAGAACGATATATAACAAAAAAATTCACATATCAGTGAAGAAGCTTACTAAGAAGGAGCTCGTCTGCCACCCTTATCCGCCCTGTGGTGTCCTTCACAGACAATCGAGATTCGCCGGTGATGTTCTTCCCATACGGTTGAGAGTCGTTGGTGGTGCTCTTCACGGGCGTTTGACAGTAGTGATGGTTCTTCACAACAAATCGAACACCCTAAGTTGGGGGTGTTCTTCACAGGTTATGGAAATTGGCTATCTAGGGTTCAGTTTCTTCGGATAAGGAATGTAAAAAAATTGATGGGGGGAGTATATTTTATGGAGGGAAATAAAAATTGATGAAAATTGAATATTTTGTTAAGGTTAAATTTCTGAATTTTTTTATATAATATCATTGTTATGTATTGATGTTTTAGTGTCATATAACTATGACACTTATATGTTATTAATACTATATGTCGTTTATCAGTGATACTACATACAAAAGTGTCACTAAAGAAGTGTCACTATAAGAAAGTTTTTTACTAGTGATTAGAGAAGCTTTTGGCTATAGGAATGGAATGGTGATTGTTTCTGATAGGCATGAGAGCATTGCTAAAGGTGTGATAGAAGTATATCCTGAATCTGGACATGGGGTATGCATTTACCATTTGTATAACAACCTCAAGACAAAGTTCAAGAGAAAAAAAATGAAAGACAGTTATTTTGAAGCAGCACAAGCTTATACCAGAGAGGAGTTTGACTGCCACATTGAGGAACTAAAGGAGATTGATGAGGAAATAGTGCCATATCTGTATGGTGTTGGGTATGAAAAATGGACCAAAGTGTTCTCAATCTCCGAAACTTACTCAACCATGACTTCAAACATAGCAGAATCAATAAATGTCGTACTGAAGAAGATAAAAAATCTGCCAATAAGTGCTTTGCTACAGTTCTTACACACATTGGTACAAATATGGACACATGTAAACAGAAATGGTGCAAGAAATACATTCACAAAACTTGCAAAAGTTCCACATGAAACTCTAGAACAGAACTACATCAAATGCATGAAACTAAAGGTATATAAGTCATACATAAACTTCTTATTTTTTTTATATAAAATATGAAATAATAGTATTTTGTATCAAATTTTATTTGCAGGTGGTTCCTTCTAATGAGGTGATATTCAGTGTTTATGAAATGAACAGAATCTTCATTGTTAATCTAGATGACAAAACATGCACTTGTAGAAGGTTTCAAATGGAAGAATTGCTTTGTATGAACGCACTGGCAGTACTAAAAAACAAAAATCAAGAGTCGTACAGTTTTTGCTCATCTTACTACACAAAGGAAACATTGTTGCAAACTTATAGTGAGACAGTGCATCCTATTCTAGATCAAAAAACATGACAAGTGGATATGTCAGAGCCAATTTTGCAAGTTTATCCACCACATGCAAGGAAGTAGGCAGGAAGGCCGAAAAGCAGAGATATAAAGCACACTGGGAGACTAACACAACAAACAAATGTGGGAAGTGTGGAAAGAAAGGACATAATAGAAAGACATGCATGAATGCACCACAAAAGTAGAAACTATAGCTAGTTTGAGAACTGTTTTAGTATTTTTTATCTATCATTTCTGTTGAAGTTCAATTCAAATGTGCATGAACACTATTAGTGTGAATTCTATATGACTGTGTTTGAATTCTATATGACTGTGTATTCAGTTTATATTTTATAAGTACAAATCTCGAATTATGTATGATAACAAAAACAATAAGAAACAACAAAAAAACAATTTAAGAAACAATTTTGGGAAGTGTTTTGTAACTTATTTTATTACTTGTTTTGAAGGTCAATTAAAAAGAGGATAAGTGTGAACAATAAAAATCTTAATTCTATATGATTGGGTGCATATAGTACACAAGGAAAAGTACAAGTATTGAATTAAACATGATACAAGAAACAAGAAAAAACTACAATAAACAATCAAAGAAACAATACATTATTTAAAAACATCAAGAAACAAGTAGAATCAATTGAGAAAACAATAACAAAGTTTAAAAAAACAAGTAACAAACTATAACAGAATAAAAAAATAAGCTATACGAGATTACCAGTAAGATGGAAAAATCAATACAAATTCCGTACAGAAAAATAAGCAAACAAAATGCTAAAAAAGCTTTGGAATATAACAAGGAAATAAGAAACAAAAACAAACAAGAATAAAGAAGTAACGGAAACACAAAGAAGCAAGGAAAATATAAGTCATATATTGGCAGATAGAATACATGAACTGTATGACAACAGTACACAACAGATGTTCATAGGAATTGAAGCATTTGATATAGGATTACATTTCCACAAAAAGCAAAAATACATATCGACTTAACAAAAGTATGTTTACAATACAAATATTAGTCATTACTACATATATCTAAATCTTCAACTTCTTGCGCTTCCGCTTACGTTTGCCTTGATCACCATCACTCTCTGCACTTCACCATTCACCTTAGACACTCCATACTGATACAGAAAATAGGCAAGCCTCGATGTGTATAGCTCAATATCCAAAAATGGAGGAATCTCTATGCCATCAATGAAGATTCAGCAAAAGCAGCAACATAAGCTCCACAGTCACTAAAAAAAATAATCAAAATCAATAAGTGTATTAGTAATAGAAAGGATAATGCATAAAACAAAATCAGTATAATAAGATAAATAATCTTATGCTGATTCTTGGACAGGCGAGTTAGTCATGAATTTCTAATCTAAGCTCTTATTAACATCCACTGCACGTTTAGAAAAGTGGTACATGTGTCTAAAACACAAAGGTAGAATCATAGTATATGGCTTCACAACATCTGTAGCATGAGCTATATGCCTATATCCCTTGGACTGACCATGGAATTATAAACATATATGCACCAATCATTAATACAAAATCTAGCTAGAATCCAATGCATCTGCGTCTTAAAGTAAATTGGCATAAAAACATGGTCAACTTCTTCCCAAGCTTTTGAACAGGGCAATTGAAACCCTACAATATAATCACAAAGACCTGCAAACTTGGACCAAGAAAATGTTTTATCTTGGGTTGCAGCATATGCTTTCAGTACATTCACATTAAAAAGAGTATCAGTTGTTGTGAAACTGATTTTGCAAGTCTTAGTAACTTCAGCCTTCTTCCTGAAGTAATAAAAGATCACATCTAAATGCTGCAAGAAAAAGGAAAATCAGACACTAATAAATAAATATGAACTCAAAATAATAATATTAATAAAAACAAGTAAACGTACAGAATCTAATATCAATTGTCCCAAATAATAAAGAGAGTGGAAACATGTCTTCGATCCCACAAAAGCAACAGTAAAATCATATCCAGGGATGAGATGATCAACTTTAGGAGGATACATCAACTTCGATCTACAAAATGATAAACAATATGTCAAAAACCAAACTATAATAAAACTGAAATGTAAGATATTACTATATTATAAAGGGAAAATGGAAACTAATAATCCAACCTTTTAGCGGTCTTCTTTCAATAATCCCACCTTTTGATTATTCATGAATAATCCAACCTTTGCACCCCATCTTCATTCATTGGTCTCTGGTCGGTTAATGACCTACTATTCCAAGTTATTTTCGTATCTTTGCAAAATATTATCTTTGTGAAAGATGAGATTTATGGTATAATGATTTGCAAAGATAAGAAAATAGCTTGGAATAGCAGGTCATCAACCGGTCAGGGACCAGTGAATGAAGATGAGGTGCAAAGGTTGGATTATTCATGAATAACCAAAAGGTTGGATTATTGTAAGAAGACCGCTAAAAGGTTGGATTATTAATTTCCATTTTCCCTATTATAAACAACCTTTTACGTTTATAAGCTCCTTCATCAATCCAAATGTTAAAAGCACCAAGAATAGAAGGCGGTGGCACACAGACTGCCTCATCAGCAAAAGGACATGGAAGGAAAATAATCCAACAAAGTAGCATATTCCGCATAATGCAACTCAGTCACAGTAAAAAAAACCCAGATTTTCAACAGAAGCCATCAAAACAGTATCATTCTCGGCCGACATGCAATAAGTAAATGTTGAAAACACAATATCAGATATGAATGAAGGAAAATATCGCAATCATCAGACTCCAACTCCTGCAAATGACGGGTCATGACAGGAACATCAACCGCAATCTGATAACAAAAAGGATTAATGAGATTAAAAGCATGGAAATAAAGAATTTCATAAAAAGAAAGAAAGCAGAGAAACAACAATGAAACAAAATAAAACAATGAACACAAAATGAAAAATGAAAAAAGAAACAATACATAACATGTGTATCATCTAAGGCATGTCCAGTAGGGTCGGCAGATATCAGTGATTCATCTAACTGACCACACTGAAGATCAACATTTACATCTCCACCAGCAAAAAGAATATCAAAGTCATTATCATTATCAGAAAGACCTTTGGTGGTATCAACATCATCATCACTATCAGGTTCTTCTACAGGTTGATTTTTATCAGGAGAGAAAAAACCAGAATTTGTGTGTTTGGAAGATTGAACATGGGAAAGTGAAATAACACAGTCAACTTGTGTTCTAAATCAGTAAACTTGCCCTGAATAAACTCTTTGAAAGCAAGGAGTTTGGTGTCAAGTCGGTTTTCAAAATCCTGTAGAACAGAGTTCGAAAATACACCATCAAAAGAAGAACTAGTTCCCTCCCCAGCATTTGAAACAGATGACAAATTTTGGGGCCTCAATGGATGAGATGAAAACAAATATATCATGCAAATCAGGTGATTCACTCTTAAGGGCAGTAAGTTAAACATTGTGCAGCTTCAACTGATAAATGAAAAACATAAAACAAAAATAAATTAAATGGAATAAAATCATAATAAAAACACAAAAGTAATAATGAAAATAAAAGTAAGACAAAAAACCTAAGAGGCGGATAAAGAAAGAAGTTCCATATTCAACTTCTTGAAAGTGTGTGCAATGGAAGAATGCCAAGACAACATTCGGGGAATAGTAGAAACAGATCTAGAAGCAAACACACAATCGCAGCAACCACATCACTCATAAAACCAGACCTGAAGAGCAAGAGGAAATCCTCAAATACAATAAAAGAAATAATCACTTTCTGAATCATCTGCTTCAACAAGTCTGCCCTTCAAGTTCTGTAATATCACATCAAAAAGGTCTTTCCCCCAAGGATAGGAATACCATAAACCACAATCAACAACAGCCAAATAAGTTTCACTTATGACCTTATCCTCAGATGAAGTAAAGAAGAACAAACCAAGGACATAAGAATATCAATTTTAACTGCATCTTCATCACAATCAGCCTTTTGACAAAGAAAACAAGTTTCAATATCTTCACGAGTAACTTTAGAACAACTGTTGAAATACTTTTTGATAAGTGAATTACTATCTGATGAAGGAATAGTAGAAGTATCAAATTCACCACTACACTTCAAACCAGTCACAACAGCAAATTCAGCAATGGAAAAACGCAAACGAAAGCTAGAAACATCAAACCAGATCTCCTTGGGAATACTGTGACTAATTTCTCGCAAAAGCAAACAAATGCACAAGTTGAGGCTGCAATTTAAGGTCTTCAAAATCCAACAATTTACCAAAGCAAGTTTCCCTAAATATTCCCAATTGCACATCAATCGTCTTGGCCTTAAGATTTACAGTAATGCAATCCTTGCTAAAAGTACAAACTCTATTGTTAAACCACAATTCAGATGGAACAAAATACTGCCACTCCTGGATTTAAAAAAAGTAACAAAATTAAAATTGAATAAACAAAAGTAAACAAAAACAAATTCAAATACAAGAACAAAAAGTACACATGCAAAAGAGAAGAAGCACTGTAAATATAACAAAAGCGGACTAATGATATGCACTAATTAGTAGTGCATAAATGTATGTTTTTTGTTTGATTTGTGTGGGTTGTTTACCGTTTTATTTAGTTTGTAAACATTTGTGTGATTTTAGTTGTAATTGTATTTTAGTTTTCATTTATAAGTTGTAAAGTATAAATAGGATTTGTGGTGTTGAAAAGGAGGACTTTGAAGTGAAGAAAAAGGACTTTTGACTGTCTAGGAGCAAATACCCGACCGGGTAGAACACTTCACCCGGTCAGGTCTGATTTAAAAACCGAAGCACCACAGGAAACCACTGGACCCGGTCGGGTCAACTAATGCACCCGGTCGGGTCAGACTTGATCGGAGACAAAATGTCGTGCGAAGAACACACTAACGTGGGAAATATTTGATTTTAACCGGTACCCGGTCGGGTGAGCACTATACCTGGTCGGGTACCCGGCGAAAGGTATTGAAAAACACCTATAAATAACACACTTTTCTTTCACTATTTTCACTCCTTCTTCCATACTCTTAAACTCAATTTATATTAGCATTTCTTTTATATTTTTATAGCATGTTTAGTCTCTAAATGAGGAGCTAAACTTCTATATCTTGGTGTTGCTCTTGAAGCTTGTTGATTATTAAAGTTGTGAGTTATTTTCTTAACTTCTTCCCTTGAATATTAATTCTTCCCTTAATCTATCTCTATATTAATGTTGGGGAGTGTTGCTAAGATGACAATTAGTTAACATCTCGACATTAATTACTACTAGAAACGATCAACGAACCGATGGTTAATCGTTGATGGTTTCAAAAGTAAGTAACTTCGGTTTATTAATGCACGGTCGTGGTTAATAAACTTAAGAGGGATTAATTGTGTTGCTTAAACCGAAACCGTTGTGTTGAGATTATCAATCTCAATTGATTTCATCAAGAAGTTAAGAGATTAATGCTACTATCAAGTTGGTATATGGCGGTGTTCTATACTTGACTAATAGTAAGGGTTATTAATGAATGGTCGTTGTTAATAACTACCCTCGATGAATTGGAGATACTCCCCGATTGAGTATTCGAGAGGGGATAAGTTATAGATATAACAATGGTCGACTAAAATACATCAACAAGTGGAAAGCAGCAAGACCAAGTCCTTTTTATTCTTGAATTAAATCACATATAAGTTGTTCATTTTAGTGTTCAATTAAATTAATTTCAACAATCCCAAAACCCCCCTTTTATTTACTAGTTTTATTAAAAAGAGAATTATTCTTTTCCCTGTGGATACGAACTCTATTTCACATGTACTACGTATAAGTGTTAGTATCGATTTATTTCGACGCACTACGACAAAGTGCTCGTCAATTAAGTACCTTAAATGTCGAAGGATATTTGTTATTTTTTTGTTCCTTAACAGATTAACCAGACTTCTTCGTTTGTACATTGACGGAAACCTTGGATTTTTTGCGAGGCTTTGGAGCATTTTCGTTTTTTCTCTTCTTAGGAGCCAAGTTCGGACTTCTAGAACCTACAGGGGAAGCAGAAGCAGTGTGACGATCACAAGTTCTTCAACCCATATTCAGCCGAGAAGAAGATCTCGTAACACGAGTAGGAGTATGAGGAGTAGACATTATAGTGAAGATGAGGAATGAGAAAAGATGAATTCGAGAAGAAGAAAAGAGGAAGCGGGAAGAAAGAGGAGACTCGCGGTTGAAGGAAATTCGTATTGGTGGAGAACGTTGACAGGAAACTGTCTAAAATTGAAATAAAAAACCAAAAGTGAAAATATAAAAGTTAAATATGAAAAGAAAAACTGAAAAAGTAGTACGGACATTATTATGAGAAAATTACCGGGTAATTTTCACTTTACTATTCTACGGACAAATGTAGGGGTGAGCTCCCCTAGGCTTGAGCCCATCCAAAATCCTTTCTAATTTCATAATTAGTAATAAATTTTGAGATAATAAGTGATAATCTCATCCCAAATTTTTACATAAGTTTAATAAACTCAATGTGTACTTTCTCTTGTCCGTAAAAACTAGTTAGGGGATTCCCACTCATAGGATTATTTACGGCATGTTTGGATTGAATGTTGGGGAGTGTTAGTAATGAAAGTGTTAGTAAGTGTTGATACTAACACTTGTTTGGGAAAAAATTAAGAGGTGTTAAGAAGTGTTAGTAAAGGTTAGGAAGTGTTAATCTCAATCATCCTTTAGAGCATCTCCAATGGTAAAATGTGTACGGTGCACACGTGGCATGAGAAATAGCCACATAAATATTAGTAAATAAATTATTTTTCTCCTTTTTTTTTATCCCAGATTTTTTTTATTTCTCTCCTTATTTGAATGATTTTATACAGTTTTGGTAAGTTTTTCTCTACAATGTCAAGGAGACCGTGTAGATGTTGACATTGGTATTGACATTGTAGGGAAAAACTTACCAAAATTGTATAAAATCATTCAAATAAGGAGAGAGATAATTTATTTGCTAATATTTATGTGGCTATCACTCATGCCACATGTGCACCGTGCATATTATAGCATTGGAGATGCTCTTATATTCAACGATTGATACAAATGGTATCAACGATTGAGCATTTTTAAGTTTGATTGGAGTCTAGTCTGAGGTGACTTTTTTAAGTTTGATGCTATAATGTGCACGGTGCACATGTGGCATGAGTGATAGCCACATAAATATTAGCATATAAATTATCTCTCTCCTTATTTGAATGATTTTATACAACTTTGGTAAGTTTTTCCCTGCAATGTCAACAACAATGTCAACATCTAGACGGGCTCCTTGACATTGTGGAGAAAAACTTACCAAAAATGTATAAAATCATTCAAATAAGGAAAGAAAGAATTTATTTACTAATATTTATGTGGCCATTTCTCATGCCACGTGTGCACCGTGCACATTTTACCATTGGAGATGCTCTAAGTTTAATATCAGTCCCACAGATCTGGGACTGATATTAGTCAAAGTAAAACGTCTTCAAATTACCATTCGTGGTACATCTAAAAGTGATAAATTTTACTAAAATGCAAAGTGATCATCCTTTATATTCAACGTTATCAACGATTGAGCATTTTAGTTATGGCTTTCCGTAACTAAAATTTTTTGATAATCCTTTATATTCAACGATTGAGCCAATTATCAAAAAAAGTTCTGATACAAAGTGATCATCCTTTATATTCAACGATTGAGCATTTTAGTTATAAAGTGAGTAAATATTGAAAATTTATCCAAATCCCATGAGTAAACAAACAAGTTGTTCTGTCCGCCTAATTTGAATTTTTGTGATCTGAGTTTTCTAAGTTCCGATCTGTTCTGATTTTTATGATCTGATATGAATTTTTCTGATATGATCCGAATCTTTCTGATTTGATCTGAATCCTTTAATTTTGATGTGATCGGTATCGTTCTGATCTCATCTGATTTGAATACTTATGGTCTGATTGAGTGTTTGTTGTTGTTGTTAATATTATTATTATTATTATTATTATTATTATTATTATTATTATTATTACAGAGTATTATTATTATTATTATTATTATTATTATTATTATTACTTCTACTATATGTTATTGATTGTATTAAATTTTAACTTTACTTTAATGTACTAGTATTATTAATTGATCGAATATTACTCTTGTCATTTATAAAGAGCTAAGCGCATAACCAATCTACGCAAATTCAATAAATAATTTTTTACTAACATTAAAATTAATATAATATTGCACAAATATACTTGTATATGCATATATTGTGTGTATATTCACGTAATTTTTGTTGTTTAGTAGCCCATTCCACTTTTTAATCCTCATATTTTCAATCCATCACTTAAGCTTTTGTACTTAAAAAACATCATACAATTAAGTTGCTTACTTCAAAAAATCGACCAATTCATATAAGTTTGCTTATTACTTCAAAAAACCGACCAATTCGGTCACTTAATCGGTTTTTAACTTCTTATAACCGTTTTTTTGAAGAAAAAACAAAGAAAGTTTTCTTAATTCTGAAAAAAAAACAATTGTAAAATAATAGGAATGTCAAAATATATGTTTTGGGAGTTTGGAATATTTGTATTTTATAAATCTTTTTAAAAGTTTTTACATCTTAATTTTATATTTTTTACATTTTTCATTTATTTTTGGGTATTTTTTTATTTTCGGTTTCATTTTCATGTTTTAAAATTTTTATATCTATTTTTGACACTTTACAATTTTTTTTATTTCCATTTCTTTATTTTTACAATTTATAAGATTTTAAAAAAAATTATTAATTTTCTTTATCATTTTCAAAAAATGACTTGATATGAAGGAAACAATCGAATGTATTTCTGGAAAAGTTTCTCATCATTGATACATGTCAATATATATATATACAGCCCATATCAATTGGCTCAAGCAAAGAGAGGCAAACACGAGTTTTTTTCATTCTTTTGTCAAGGGAAGAAGAAAAAGGCTTCAAATTACCTCAATCCTTGATAAGAATGGAATCCAGTGCTCTGATCCATATACAATTGGAAAAGCATCCATTGAATACTACTCTGACCTATACTCAGCTTCCCCGATTGTCCAATTTGATGAAGTCCTGCAATATATACCCCAGATCATTACCAGTACAGATAACAATACCCTACTTACTCTACCAGATGAAGAAGAGGTAAAAAACGCAGTCTGGCAGCTTAACAAAAGGGGGGCTGTAACACCGTCCCCAAATATATTTACTTTTATGTAAATAATGTATTGAACCTTATTAAAGAATTAATGAATTTACGAAGTTGTAAATTTTTGTTATTTCTTTCGCACGAATAATAAATTGCACGTGGGACCCACACCGGGAGCGGGGGCCGCCCGACATTCCCGAGACCATACATTTATTCATCTTGGTCTAAAAAATAAATATATAGTGGTGGATATTTCATCGGGGCTGTGGAAAAGCCCAGAGTAGACCGGTTGGCCAAAAGCAGCCCAAATTACCGGTACTGGTAATTTAACAGATAACAGCCCGGAAATGAATTTCGGAGGCTTATAAATTAAAGTTGGGGAATGTATATTCATTATACATGTCATAATGAGTAAGAGCACATAATATATTTTATTTGACCCGATAAAATAAAATATATTTAAAACAGTCCGAAAAATACAACTTTCGGGACAAATTGTGCACTTCGGGACAAAAAGGGTTGACCTCCCACTTGGGTGGGGGCCAACCCACGACTTTGGTCACCCAAATTGATAGCTTGGCCGGCTGGATGTGTGAGAATAGCATGTGAGTGGTGTGTGAAGTGAAGGAAAGAGCATCAAACAAAATAAGGTGGATCCCATCCACACTTATTTGTTTAATGAGACAAAGGGTTACCCTCACCCCTCCCTCTACCTCATTCTCGGCCAAGAGACACCCAGCAAGAGCAAGAAATCCATCATCCTTCATTTTCCATTGTTGAAGAGAGCTCAACAATAAGGAATCCCAAGAAAAGGGGCTAGGGTGCTAAAAGTGTGAAAAGATTAAGGTAATGACCTTATTATAACTTCTTCTCTATTTTTTCTTCTACCTTATGAGATACATATCATGTGAAGAATCCTTAAGAGGGTTCTACATGTTATAAGTATGGATTAATGGATTGGAAAGTGAGTCTATGTCCAAGAACGGACTTAAAAGCCAAAACGACCGGTTCACCGGAAAATAACCTTTTATAGGTTATTTGTATTGATTAAGGTTTTATGATGTTAAAACCTTGTTAGGCACTTGTAAAGGGTATTTCAAGTGATTTCACAAAGTTGGAAAGGTCGCCGGAGTTGTCGCCGGAGTTGACCGAAAGTCGCCGGAGTTTCACCGGAGTTCAACCAAGAAGGGTAGAACTTCATAACGCTAGTTCAAGGTGAGTGGACGGCTTAATATCTTATAACTTTTGGGTTAATTATGAGATTACCTAAATAAATGTTATGTGTGTTCATAATGATGTTTAAAAGATATTTAAACATGTGATTAGCCAACATTATTAAGTTGTATGAAAAGAATTAATTGTTTATGCATGAAATATGATATGAGGAATTATATCAAATGCATATTAGCTTGAAGTATAAAAGAAGCACAAATGAGTATTATTAACTTAATCATATGGTGATTAAGTCGATATGTACAAGGCTTGAATTAGCGGTCAACGACAACGTTGACCGATGAATGATGGATTAATTAATATCGGTTGATGTTAGTTAATTATGCATTTATATAAATGCATGGCTTTGCATGGATTGTGATACATAAGATTTATGTATTGGATTAGTTATGAGTAACTAAGGATGATATAGACTCTATCTAGGTTGATAGGAGGTTGATCATAGGAAAACTTGGTGGAGGACCCTAGTACTTAAAAAGTACTTAACACTCAAACTTGGTGGAGGACCCTAGTACTTAAAAAGTACTTAACACTCAAACTTGGTGGAGGACCCTAGGACTTAAAGTCCTTAACACTCAAACTCGGTGGAGGACCCTAGTACTTAAAAAGTACTTAACACTCAAACTCGGTGGAGGACCCTAGTACTTAAAAAGTACTTAACACTCAAAACTTGGTGGAGGACCCTAGGACTTAAAGTCCTTAACACTCAAACTTGGTGGAGGACCCTAGTACTTAAAGTACTTAACACTCAAAACTCGGTGGAGGACCCTAGGACTTATGAGGCCTTAACACTCACAAACCGGTGGAGTATCCGAGGATGTTGATCCTAAAACTCATAAATTTTGATATACAAATAGGGACAAGGAGGAGTCCTATACACTCATAGGTATATGGGTGGGTTGGGGTTTTTAGTCAAGAATATTGACTAATACTATTTTTCCCAAATAAAATGGTGATCTACGGATCGGATATTTTCCAAGTATATATATACTAATAAGTATTTCATGACTTGGGGGAAAGACTATCTATTTAAGTATCACCCTATGTTTGGGTCTTATACTTGAAACGCTAGTTATTCTATATTTAGCCTGCTACTCGCTCGGTACTTGTACTGACCCCTTCGGGGGGCCCCACCATTTTCAGGTTGAAGCTAGGGCTTGCTACTTGCACCTTCTCACGGGTGATATCAAATCAGGAAGACGTGGTTCGTGCTTTCCTTATTTTCTTTCAAACTACCGAACACTTGCTCATGGATATTTGTTCTACTATAAACTATTTTTTGGGGCTTGCATGCCCATGTTGTTGGCCGGTTGTGGCTTATGACTTACCGTTGAATATTTCCGCTATTCATTGGTTTAAATGTGATGTTGTTATGTATGTTTACTACTGAGTATGGATGGATTGTTTTCTCGAACGCCTTGTGTAATTAAGTGGGGTTGACTCGCGGGTGACGTCACTTAATTATACGGCGGTTGTACACGCGCTTGGATTGCGGTCTGGGGCGTGACAATTAAGTGGTATCAGAGCCATCTCAGTTCTAAACATTATAATCAACCTCTCACAAAAGATTTTACAAAAGAGTTTTTACCGAAAACCATGAGCATTGTATTTTGACGTTTATGGGACTATTGGTGCTTAAGTTGCAAGGCCTCTGATTGTTAAGACGGTACCCTTAACAATTGGTATGGTAGTGACTTGGGCCAATACGTGTCTATAACGTTCTTCCGTCAATTGACATTTATAGGAGTCTAATGACTCATCCATATTTCTTTCAGAAATGGAGGGCAGGCGAATGAGGACCAGGAACAATCCGAGGGGGCAGGCGCCGGTAGCATCCCAAAGGGGAAGCCGGGCTGCATCTCGGGGTTCGAGAGGAGGCCGTGGAGGCCGTGGAAGCCGTGGAGGTCATCAAGCTCAAACTGTGAGCGATGGCCATGTAAGCTCGGTGTATGAAACCAACACCGAAGACTACGACTCTACATATGTTCCGGAAACGGAGCACGAGGAGACCCCATATGATGGGGGTGACACGTACACGGACGATGATGATGAAGAGAGTGATGCCAAGTTCGCTCAAATGGGCGAATTACTTGAGTGGTATCAAAAAGAAAAGCTGAGGAGAGACCTTAGGCGCCAAGCAAGGCGTGGCTCTCGCGGCGGTTCGGGTCAAGGAAGCCGGGGAGCTTCAAGGTCCACTCCCGCGGCTTCACATGGTGGGCGTGAAGGAGGTTTTTGTGTGAGAATCTCCAAGTACCTCAAGGAGGCTAGGGCCTTGGGGTGCAAGTCCTTTGACGGCACCGGTGACATTACCGTTGCCGCAGATTGGATTAAGAAGGTGAAGGATGCATCAAGAGACATGCAAATCACACCGGACGTGAAGTTGACTGTCGCTTCACGGTTACTTGATGGGATAGCCTCTACGGGGTGGGAGAGCGTGGAGGGGAAGTACCATGGGGAAATAACATGGGCGGACTTTGAGCTAGAGTTCTATGCTCAATACTACTCCGAGTACGAGGTGAATGTGAAACGGAGAGAGTACACTAACCTCAAACAGAAAGATGGCGGCACAGTTAAACAACTGGAACAAGAGTTTAGAACCTTGGCTAGGTTCTTGCCGGAGTACGCGGTTGATGAGAACCGCATGACGGAGCACTTTTGGGATGCCCTACTCTTGGACATTCGTGACCGAGCTACGTACTCGCGCCACATGACCTTCAGCGAGGTGGTGGAACAGGGCCTTCTCGGGGAGGCCCAATGGAATGAGAGGAAAGAGAGAGACGCCGAAGAGGCGAAAAAGAGGAAATGGCAAAGTTCGGGGCCGCCCGAGCAAGCACGGAAGGATAAACACGGCGGAGGTGGCGGTTCGTTCAAGACTCCGGCACCACCGGCAAAGAAGAACAGGGATGCTCGGTGGCATGCATCCTCCTCCCAAAAGACGGAGCCTCCAAGGTGTGCCAATTGTTCGAAAAATCACTTTGGGAAGTGCAATGCACCCCCGAGGTGTTATCAATGTGGGAACACGGGCCACATGAAGGCCAATTGCCCACAACTGGGGGGCGGAGGAGCTCCGGGATCCGGAGGAGGAACCATGACGGGAAGAAACCGTGCGGGCCCGTCAAACGGCGGTACGGGAAGAGGCAACGCATCCACAAGTCATGCCGCGTCCGTAAACCAAGGCGGGACCCAAGCACGAGTCTACGCGATGACCGAGGCGGATGCGAGAGCAAACCCGGACTCCGTTGCAGGTAATACGCGTATTCCCATGTATTTCTAGGCTTACTTTGATCATATACGTCGTTGGGATTGAGTGTGGGCCACCCCGGGGTCGAACCGGGTGAGTTAGGCCGAATCTGGCTGGAAACAGCCACTGCCGGCCAGGCACGCCCTCAGGCACGCCGTGCCTGGAATCGTGCCTGGAAGGCAGTGGCACCCGAAGAGAAAAAAGGAAAAAAAAAAAAAAAAAAAAATCTGGGCCAGGCACGGCAGCAGGCACGCCGTGCCTGGCGTCGTGCCTGGGAGGCAGTGGTGTCCGAAGAAGTTTTGGCCAGGCACGGCCGCAGGCACGCCGTGCCTGGCATCGTGCCTGGCCGGCAGTGGACAGCAGAGTGAGTTTGTTGCACGCACGGCCGTGCCTGCCACCCAGGCACGCCGTGCGTGGACCCCCAACACCCGAAAGTTGATTTTTTCGCCCCGT